TTCTTGTTCTCTGTGTGGATCACCATTGGAGACTGGACAATTAGACAGCTTGGATTGCAGATTGTGATTATTGGAGTTCTAGAAAAAGTAAAAGAGTTGGTGTTTAATTTCCGCTGTGCATGTTAAGTAAATTCCCAACAGTTACATCAATCATTTCCAAAGATTGCCTAAGGATCTTGGAAGAGACAACAGCTTCATGAGCTTCGGGTGAAATGAAGGCCTCAGTTGGAGAAGGCTTTATATTGGTCTTCTGGGTGAAGAACCTCGGTTTCTTTGATTTCTTTGTGTAGTGCCTCGGATTTATGCACTTCAATCGTTAGATAGTGCTCCAGCATAAGAGTTTCGACCATCCATATAATTTCTTTACATTTGACCAGTTAGGTCTTTGTTGACTTTTCTGCCTACGTGGATTGCTACGTGGCATTTTGACTTGAGTCTCGGAGGCAAGGCGCAACATTATTGAGGGTGTAAAATTGTATTACTTCAAATGACACTAAGTGTGAATTTTTATAGTAGAAGAGGTAAAATGTTAGCTTTTATTGAGGGAACGTTTAATAATTATGAACAGTGACCACCCTATAGTTTAGGTCTAATATCTAAAAAGTAGACTGATAAGTTGAATGAAATGTGTCTACTATAGAGAGTTAATATCAATCAATTATATAGAGAATCATGTACAAAAGATCTCTTGAAAGAGGTGAAGTTAGGAAAATGCCTTGTAGATTCAAAGGCTAATCGCTTTAAAAATGAGCTGTAGCAGGTCGCCTCAATCATAGATGGTTAGCCACTATATGGCGCCTCGGCTGAGGTGGTGATATTACTTCAGCTAACTCTATTTTGTGGCCTCAATTAGGTCTGATAGGTCGACAATGTGTAGTGCGAGCTTGAGGTGACTTGTTAGCTGGTTGCAATATGATCACAACTTCGTTTTTCTATATGTGCAACTAACAAATATTTTCTATATAAAAAAATAAAAACAAGCTTACCAAGCGCTTACATTTTTTTGCATTACATATTTTTCATGAAATGAAGAATCCCAACAACTACATCTTGATATATAAAGTGAGTTGAGCTTTTTGAAGGTTTAGTTGGGTTGAAACACAAAGTGTGAGACTACCACGGCTCAAAAAAATGGCACGAGTTAAATGAAGGGGCTCAACACCCTTCTTAATTTTTCAAATTTTTAATTTATTTGTTTAATAAAATTAAAAAATATATATATATAACGAATTGCTCTATTCAATGTCTCTGTTTGAGTCACATTCACATTCTCATTCTTCTATTCTTTTTCAACCACACATTTTTCAATAAAATAATATTTTCCATCACATCAATAACTTTTCTTTTTTTTAACCACATATTCCCCATCACATTACAAAAAAAAACAAAAATACATTCATTCCTAAAAGATGTGCATCAAACGCACTCCATTTTTAACCTTTCTGAAATGGAATCGATCCAACGGCCGTGCCAAGACCTCACGATCCTGGCCCTACATCAACACCCAAAGAATCCATTACATGATTCCTCGTTCCTACACCGCACAGCCTCGAGTATAAAAGAAATTGTCATCCACAGAAGAAATGAGAATATCATCCAACAAGGTATTCCCATATCCCAACTAATTATCAAATTAGGGCAAATCATTATTGAAATTGGGGAATAAATAATCATATGCAGATCATATTTTGTGCGTCAAATTCTTTATCTTATCCATGGAAGATTCGTCCAAAGAGCTTATTTAATTGGAATTTTGGAAACAGCAAGGCAGAGCCTTTTTACCATGATGACGTTGATCTTCAATTCCCATCTTCTCTTCTCAGCAAAACATTCTTGAAAGGTAACTTTTTATTTCATAAGTTACTTTTTTCTTACTTATTGTTAGTTAAATCAATTTGCTAATACTTATTTATGTATAAGTAAACGTTTAGGCAAACATGTTGTAACAATGTTTACATTCATATAAAATTCTTCCGAGAAGTAATTGTTGAATGGGATAATAGATAGATTGCTTGTTTACTTTACCATGCTAATAATCTGACATATTTGTAATTTTAATTACTAAAATATTATTTATTTTAAAATTTACTTAGTAATTCATATAAGTTTACCTATAGGCATAATCGATCAAGCTTACTTTTTTATCACATTTCAAATGACTATCTTTCACTAATCCACTACTCATTTATATCTATTTACGATTTAAGATGATTATGATCCATTCCCAAAAAAGATTTTATTTAAAGGTAAAAAAATCTCAATGACCTCTTTGTTTTTCAACAATCAGTCACTGAACTTGAAATTTTGTTCTATTAATCACTATACTTTTAAGGTTGTTTTCTTGCATTCACCAAACTTTTAATATTGTCTCCTAGGGGTGTCCAAAAGTCCCGAACCGAACCGGACCGAACCGAACCCGAACCGAACCGAACCGAACCGAGCGGTTCTTCATAAATTAAATACCCGAATGGGTACCCGAATCCAGAACCGATGGGTTTGGGTCGGGTCTCGGGTCTAGACCAAGAACCGAAGAACCGAACAAGAACCGAAACTAAATAATTTTTTTATTTTTTATATTGAATTAATTAAATTATTTTATTTTTTTCCTATACAAATTAGCAAATTAATTGAATAAATTAGATTATTTCATAATTTTAATTTTTAAGCCCAAATCATTTTAAAATCCATTAGCCCATTTTAATTTGAAACAAATGAATATA